TCCACGTCGCCGGAGAAGAGCCGCATGAAGCGCTCGGAGAGGCACTGCTCCTCACCGAGACCGAGCAGCGCGGCCACCTGGGCACGAGGCCGAAGACGACGACGACGACGAGGACGAGGACAAGGACGACGACGGCGACGACGAGGAGGACGACGAGGACAAGGACGACGACGACGACGAGGACGAGGACGAGGACGAGGACCAGGACGAGGAGGAGGAGGACGACGACGACGGCGACGACGACGACAACGACGGCGACGACGACGGCGATGGCGACCACGACGAGGACGACAAGAACGAGGACAAGGACGAGGACGACGACGACGAGGACGAGCACGACGACGGCGACGACGAGGAGGGCGCCGACGAGGACGAGAACGAGAACGAGGACGACGACGAGGACGAGGACGACGACGAGGACAAGGACGACGACGACGAGGACGACGGCGAGGACGAGGACGACGACGAGGACGAGGAGGACGATGACGACGACGACGAGGACGACGACGAGGACAAGAACGACGACGACGGAAACGACGATGACGACGGCGACGACGACGACGAGGAGGACAAGAACGATGACGAGGACGACAACGAGGACGACGACGAGGACGATGACGGCGACGACGACGACGACAACGACGGCGACAACGACGGCGACGACGAGGACGACGACGACGACGACGGACGGCGTCGACGAGGACGACGACGACGAGGACGACAAGGAGGAGGACGACGACAACGACGACGAGGACGAGGACGAGGATGAGGACGAGGACGAGGACGAGGACGACGACGGACGACGACGAGGACAACGCGACAACGACAACGAGGACGAGGACGACGACGAGGACGAGGACGACGACGAGGACAATGACGAGGACGACGACGACGGCGGCGGCGACGACGACGGCGACGGCCACGACGGCGACGACAACGACGATGGCTCGACGACAGGGCCTCGGGTCTGCGCCCCGACGACGGCTCGACGCAGCCTCGTCGGCGTGTCGTCGTCCTCCTGCCGTCGTCGTCGTCCTCGCCGTTGTCCTCGTCGCGCGTCCGTCGTCGTCGTCGATGCCGTCGTCGCCGTCGTCGCTGTCGTCGCCGCCGTCGTCGCCGCCGTCGTCGTCGTCCTCGTCCTCGTCGTCCTCGACGTCTTCGTCGTCCTCGTCCTCGTCGTCCTCGTTCTCGTCCTCCTCCTCGTCGTCGTCGTCGTCGTCGCCGTCGTCGTCGCCGTCCTTCGTCGTCGTCGTCGCCGTCCGTCATCGGCCTCCTCGTCGTCGTCGTCGTCGTCGCCGTCGTCGTCGCCGCCGCCGCCGTCGTCGTCGTCGTCGTCGTCGTCGTCCTCGCCGTCGTCGTCGTCGTCGTCGTCGTCGTCGTCGTCGTCGTCGTCGTCGTCGTCGTCGTCGTCGTCGTGGTCGTCCTCGCCGTCGCCGTCGTCGTCGTCGCCGTCGTCGTCGTCGTCGTCGTCGTCGTCATCGCCGTCGACGTCGTCGTCGTCGCCGTCGTCGTCGTCGTCGTCCTCGTCGTCCTCGTCCTCGTCCTCGCTGTCGTCGTCGACGTCCGTCGTCGTCGGGTGGGCTCGCGCCCTCGAGCCTAATAGATCTCGGGGCCAGTAGGCATCAACCAATGCCGTAATGTCAGATATCCCGGCCGAGGGCCGAAACCTCCTCCTCCTCCTGCTCCTCCTCTTCCCCCTCCTCCTCCTCCTCCTCCTCCTCCTCCTCCTCCTCCTCCTCCCCCTCCTCCTCATCCCACTCCCCCTCGTTCTTCTTCGTTCGTGCCGCACGGAACGGTCTCGCTTATCCCTCGTAATCGTCGGCTGGTCCAAGTCAACACTTCCATGGCCGATCGCAGCGTGGCCCCCACCCCGCTGCCGGCTCGACGATGTGCTGGCAGCAGCAGCAGCAGCAGCAGCAGCAGCAGCAGCAGCAGCTCGGACCAGGAAGCGGTACAGCTGCCAGCGCGGGCCGGAACGTCACCTGGCAGACCACCTCCTGGCCCCCCCAGGGCCCTTAGGTCCCCACAGGCCGCCGCGGACTGCGCTCCTGCCCCTCTCGCCGCGAGGGGAACAAGGGGGGTCCCGAGGAAGCGGGTCCTGGACCCCTGGGGCTTCGGCCCAGGGACTGGCCCTCCATCTCGCGTCGTTTCTGTTGGTCCCTGGGCCCCGGAAGGGCCCCGAAAGGCTGAAAACCAGAGACAAAACTCAGGACCCCATGCCCTCAGGACCTCCTTGCCTCATGGAGTGAATTGGGGGCCGGCGAGGGTCCGGTAAGCTGGCGCCAGGGCACCACTCTGCAGCATCGGCTGCAGCCTAGCTGCGCCCACAGCCGTGGCCATGCGCAACCTCTTTGCTTCTCGCTTCTCTGCTGCCTCTAGCAGAAAGTCACAACAAAACGTCTCCCCTCTTTGGAGGTTCTGTCCCAGGCCCGCCTCGCGCGCGTGGGAGACCAGGTAGGGCTGTGGCAGCGGCCTGTCGAGGGCGCAGTAGTTGGCATATTCGGCCGACGGCCGTTTGCATTTCAGAATCAGAAGCCCGGCGCCGCTACGACACAACGGCTGAGGGATGCCAAGATAGCGTCTGTCCTAGCCGCCGCGGAATTTCCCGGCGCCGCCGAAGCCGTTTGCATTTAGGGCCACCCCTTATAGGCCTCAGAGAACTGTTTGGGGCTATGGCAGAGCCCCCACAAGGGAAACATATCCTATGGGCCTCACCCCATCCAGGTTTCTCCACCTGCTCATGAGGTCTGGGTGAAGGGGAGCTGCCCACCCCTCACCAATCCACCTTCTAATCAGTCCCAACCAACAAAAATCAAAGTTGACCCCAGAAGGCGAGAAGCCTCCGCCAACAGCTCTCGACGATCGCATCCGTCGTTCAAGCCCCGAGCACATGCGCACCTCGCAGGCCCCAGCCATCCCCAGAACGGCGACAGGCAAACCTGCCTCAGGCGAGCCCGCAAGTAGAACCTCTGTTTGCGGGCTCGCCCCATGCACGTTTAGAACAACAAATTACTGCATGAGCATGATGCAATTTTCGGCGGTCCGTGAACACATCTTTGGTCGGCATTGCATCTCCCCCCTCCCTGGCGGCGTCTCCACCGCCGCCACTGCCGCGCTTCCAGGGGAGGGGGGGCCCAGCGCCGACCCAGGAAATCCGCGCGGACCTCCACATGCTTATGCTCGTGTCTCGGAGCAGGGCGAATTGAGACAGCGGCAGCTCAAGATGAGTCCCCGGACCCCTCCTGGAGTCCAAGCGCGCGAATTTTCCGAGCTGCGTCCAGCCATGGCGTCGAGGGGGCCCCCCGAAGGCGAATTACCGTGGTCTCGACTCGCCCTCCCATGAGTGTCTTCTCTTCTTCTTACGAAGTCAGCTTGGCTCGGACCACCTGCAGCCTGCAGCCACATACGGTCAGAGACGTGTGCAATGCGTGTCGCCCTGGCGACCTTGGCGACACGCATTGCCGAAGTCCCGACCCTTTCCCCAGAACCGGTTTTTCGTCCTGAGTCGTTTTTTGACGGTCCCTAGGAAGGGCGAGAGCTCCCCGAGGCCAAAAACTGGCAAAAACCTACCGTCCTGTTTTTTTTAACGATGCGATCCTGGGCGGGGGGACTGGGAAGTGGGTAGCGCATAGCGCCGAAGCGTGGTGGGCCAGAACCAGCAGAGCGACACGCTATCCAATAGTTCCCGACCGTATGCAAGCTTACGAGAGAGCCCTGGCCTCGGGCGGACCCGCACGTAGGCCAACTGCCGTTGTCTCGGCTAGCCCTCCTCTGAGTGCCTTGTTCTTGGGAAGCTGCCTTGGTTCGGACCACCTGCAGCGAACTGGCGAGTTCCGGAACCCCTGAAGCAAACACCCTTGCCATCTCCTGTGAGGCCGACGTTTACTTCCGCCAACCTTCCGCCGAGAAAGAGATCGGCAACTCCGTCAATCCTCGAAGGCGAGACCCTTTCCGGAAAGCCTCACGTACACTGAGATCTGACGTAACGGAAAAAATACAACACTATACAAAAATTACACCCAGAGCCCCAGACTCCACCTTTCTGCGTCATTGTTCGAGCCGGATCGATCTGTCAGGGTCCCCGGGCCCAAAAAAAAAAGAAAACGCCCGGCTCAAAAAAGTTGACACGCGAGGGATACGCAGACATGCGACGTTCGACCTTTTCCCCGTGAACGGTTTGTCGTCCTGAGCCGTTGTTTGACGGTCCCGAGGCCCGGCGAGGGCTGCCAGGAGCCGAAAACGGCCAAAAACAGCCCGTCCTGCCAATTTTGCGACGCGACATCATAGGACGCACAGAGACATCCTACTACTACTACTACTACTACTACTACTACTACTACTACTACTACTACTACTACTACTACTACTACTACTACTACTACTACTACTACTACTACGACTACGACTACTACTAC